GCCCGACCACCGCCCGACTGCCGGCCAAGGCCATCAGACGATGAGACATCACCTGACCTCGCGGCGCCCAAAAGCGCGCACGCGCAGCACAGAGCAGCCGCTTCGAGGGACAGTGTGCCACGCCCCGGGCAGCAGGCGCTGGCGCAGCAAAATTTGCGCATGCGCAGTGGGCCAGCGGCGTAGGATGGGGCCCTCTTTGTGGGTGTCCATTTCATCGCCTGTTTAAGGGTCTGGTTAGGAGCTTTCCTCTGCAGGGCAGAAAATTGAGCGGGAAAACCCGAGCAACTGATTTAGCCTAGGCGCCAGGGGGCCAAGCGACGCCTTCATTTTTTTTTTTTTTTTTTTAAATCTGGCATTGACCCTGACACCTATCTCCGGACTCCTCCATAGGAAGAGGTCCACAAAAACGAATGCTAGAGTTCAGCCACTCCCGCTTGCGTCGGCAGTCCTTCTGAGGAGTTCCCAGGTTTTCGGTGCTAGGATGTCTCGCGACCAAAGGAACTCCTTTGGTACATAGCTTTCTGCGTGGTTCTCCTGCATGAAACTTTGTGGTCGGTTGGTTGGGTTTTCTCCAGAGCCACAGGAGTCCAGGCCGTTTTTTAATGTGCTGTCAGGGATTTGGAAGCTAATTGACTTTAAAGAGGTCCACGCGGCCACCCACGACTGGACCATGAATCCACTTGTTTCTGGGCAGTGAGGCCGGGCAGCCTGCTGCAACTCTGGGGGACTTCTCCGCGCAGCCTCATTTTCTCTTTCCCAAGACTACTGTGACATTACATTTCCGAGGCAGAAATGCCTGGGAAACGACTTATACATACAACTGTTGCCCCTAATTCGAAAAGGGAGTGGAAAGCACTTACCCCCCACATGAAATTAGAAGTGTTGAGACCATTCAAGAAGAATGAAATTGCTCAAATTCCAAAGGCCTTAGGTCCTGTAGCCTGAGTGGCCATGATCCAATATAATAATGAAAAAGAACAACGTCGCAAGTAGCCTCTCCCTCAAGAGCTTCTCGGTTGAGTCACCACCGAAGTACCATAATAGAAAACATGGAGCGCTTCTTGACCATATAGCTTAAAGACCAGAGCCAGTGAAATGTGCCTCTGAGTATCACTCATTCAGGAGAAACTTAACGTTTTGGGGTTTTTTTGTTTTTCCGGTATTGGGGATCGATCTCAGGACCTTAACATTTGCCAGGTAGGCACTGTGCAGCTGAGCTAAATCTCCAGCAAGAGGAACTATGGACGACATTGAAGTAGCTTGGTCAAACCAGCAGTAATGAGCGTGTGGAAGATTTGGCCAGAGGGTGTTCACTCCCAGAATTTTTCACATATACCACTACACAGCTTCAATACAACATTGTTCCCCTTACCAAAAATGTGACCTGGAAGTAGAGGCTGATATGGGCCATTTGCTGCAACCCACAGAGATCTCTCAAATGAGGAACTGATACAGCAGGAATAGGAATGGCAGCAGGAGAGGAGGAGGGTGGAGATGCTTCCCATGCCCTCCACTTGCTGACCATAAAATTGTCCCTAACCTTATCTCAATGGAGGCTGGTTTGCAAGTCCTTGTTAGTAACAGCCCTGATGATGACTGGAAGCTGAAAGTGTCAAAACAATCGATGCAATACACCACTACAGAGAATTATACAGTGAGAAGTGTCATTCAGAGTAACTATCATAAATTGTATTTTAGTGTACTGTATTGTTGCAGAATTTAAGAGACAGGAGAGACCAATGGGAAACAGAAGGACTTTAATTTTAGGTGAGCACCAGCTCAATGGACTAATGTCCAAAGGAAGAATGAAGAACAAAGGAGAAACTCCAGTTTTTATATATTTGGACAAAGGGGCTGACATTTATAGTGATGTAGCAAGTGACTTTACATGAAACAGGACAAGGGCAATTTTGTAAATTAGCCTTGAAAGAAGACAGAGCCTTATGAATCATGAGAACAGGGTGTCATAACCTGTATTTATGGGACATAGTTGTTAATTTTATCTGTACCAAAACAAGGAGTTACAACTATGGGGGAGGGCCTTCTTGAGGAGGCGAACTGCCCAAGTCTAGAAAAAACTTGTTTTTGAGTCCTTCAATATAACCAAAAGTTAACCCAAGTAAAGCTCAAAACTCAATGATGACCTCGACAGCTGAGATGTAGCCAAGCCTCTCTGCTTTCAGGTATTTAATGTCCCTGAAAACCTTGGTGCTAGTATTTCTGTTTTGACACTTGGAAATATCAAAATTTGTCATTAATTTTTTCTTGCTACAGGGTCTTGCTATTTGTTCAGGCTCACCTTGAACTATGTATCCCAGACTGGCCTCTAACTCAAGGCAGTACTGCTGCCTCAGCATCCCAAGTGCTGGGATTACAGGTGTGCACTACCACACCTGGCTATCTAAAATTTTACTTAAATGTCTTTTTAAAAGATCGCATACATGAAAGGTCATTCATGCCCATAATCCTAGCATTGTAAGAGGCTAACAATCACAAATTCAAGGTCAGACTGGGCAACTCAGTGACTTAGTAAGATGTTCTCGGAAAAAAAATTTTTTTAAATTTATTTTTTAAGAGCTGGGGATATAATTCAGTACAAAGGCCCTAAATGCAATCTCCAATACTGGGAAAAATTTTTTTTAAAAAATCTGGGCATGGTGGTGCATGCATGCAATTCCAACACTCTGGATCCCATGGCAGGAAGATCACCATGATTTTAAGGCCAGGCTGAACTACATAACAAGACCATGTCTCAAAAGAAAAACTCCAAACAGACTAGGGATTTAAATGTAAACATGAAACCATGCAAGTACTGAAAAAAGATACTTTTTTAGAGATGAGATTTGTTTTGTTTTGAGATGGTCTCACTATGTAGTTGAGACTAACCTGGAACTCCCTATGTAGCCCAAGCTAGTCTCGAACTCACAGCAATCCTTCTGCCTCAGCCTCCTGAGTGCTGGGATTAGGCGTGTGCCTCCCAAGCTAGTCTCGAACTCACAGCAATCCTTCTGCCTCAGCCTCCTGAGTGCTGGGATTACAGGCGTGTGCCACAACGCTCAGCAGAGGTGAGATTTAACTGTTACCCAGCTGGCCCTAAACTCCTGGACTCAAGCAATCCTCTCACCTTTGTTCCCTAGGAATTTTGACTACAGGTGCACCCCATTGTGCTCTGTAGTGAATGCCTCTTTAGCCTGCATGTAGGGAAAAGTTTTCTAGGACTAGAAATCCAGGTGAAATAAAATACTAATCAATTTGACCATATAAAAGTGTGAAGCAATTGGGTGTGGTAGCACATGCCTACAATCCCAGCTACTAGGGAGGCTAAGACAGCAGGTTGGCCATTCTGAGGCCACACTGCGTAATTCTGCAAGACCCTGTCTCAAAATTTTAAATCCAGTCCACTGGTTCAATATTGGCCATATGGGGAAATTTGATTCAATTCTTGTCCACTTCCGTTTGTGACCAGAATCATAGAATTGTTTGTAAACTGAGGTATCACTATAATTAGAAAAAAAAATTAAAACTACATGTCATTTCTCATCCTGCAAATGTCAAGTATGAGCCAGGTCCAGTGGCATGTACCTGTAGTCCCAGCTGTTTTGAGAGGTAGAGGCAGGAGGACGGTGAGCTGAGGCCAGCATGGGCAACATAATGAGACCCACTCATTTATTTATTTATTTATTGAGACCCGCTTATTTAAAAAAGAAGTAGGACAACATGTTTTTTGGTGAGGCTGAAGGCTAGTGCAATTCTGATGTGATCAGAATTTAAAATATTACAACTCTTTATGGATGAGGCATTTAACACTAAGAAATAGATTTGACGCAGCAGCCCCATTTTAGGATTGTGCCCTGCAGGTGCGTTTTCAACAAAAGAAAACATGTGCAAAAGTTATTACTGGGGCCAGGGATTTAGCTCAGTGGTTCTGCCGCCTGCCTCGAAAGCACAAGGTCCAGAGTTCGATCCCCCCACAAAAGAAGTTATTCATTGCAGCCTTGTTTGTAACTGCAAAAGTTAGGCTGAGTGTTAGATAGAAAGTGGTCAAATGAGAAATAGTAATTCCACACAATGCAATACAGATGTAAATTATGGCAAAAATAATAAGGGCTTGGGCCAGGGATTCGTTCAGTGATTCCACTGCCTGCTACACAAGTGCAAGGTCCCAAGTTCAATCCCCGGTACCAAAAAATAATAATAAGGGCTCTTAATAATATTAAGGTCTCTTATCTTGGATGTGATTTCCAAGATATACTAGGAAGTGAAAAACGCTATATGCAAGAGATTACAGTATGCTGCCTTTTGTGGAAAAAAAGGAGAAGATATGTATTTTCTTTGTATAAAATGAAACAGGAGAAAGCAGAGTCTAAAGAGACTAGTTGGCTATGGGGTGTGGAGCAGAAATGATCAAAGGAATGGGAAGAAGCTGCCATCTTTTTTGTAATGACATTTGAAACCATATTAATATATCAGAAAAGCAAACAAGGACAGGGAAATAGGACATAACTTGAGATGCATGAATTGTAATTCAGATGAAGAGCCACAGCGAAGGGGAAGAAACATGCAAATAGATTTGAACACCATAGTTTGACTAAATGTCTTCAAACTAAAAACAAACAAGAACTCTAATCAAATATTAAACCTAGCTGGGTGTGGTGGCACACACCTGTAATCCCAACACTCAGAAGGATGAGGCAGGACAATCACGAGTTCAAAGCCAGCCTGGACTACATAATGAGACCCTGTCTCAAACAAAAGCAGGGCTGGGGATTTAGCACACTGGTATCACGCCTGCCTCACACGTGCAAGGTCCTGAGTTCAATTCCTGGTAGTAAATAATTTCTTTCCCACAGAAGCATGGTTTAGCGATGTTGTGGATCCTCAAATGAAGTAAATGGATAACGGATAATGGAGTCAGGCTTTCACTATGAAGGAAGGGAATTACACACGTGACAAAGGGAAAGGCTGAGCTTTGTGGTGATGGTGTAAAACAAAGTACCGTGTAAAGACAAACGAGAAGGGTTAGATGTGGTGGTGCACGCCTCTAATCCCAGCACTCAGGAGCCTGAGGCAGAAAGACTGTCAACTATTTCAAAATCAGCTGTAACTACATAGTGAGACCCTGTCTCAAAAAAACAAGAAATAAAACGTGAAAAAAAACGACAGTGCCAGGGATTTAGCTCGTGCTGCCACCTGTCTTGTAAGTGCAAGGCCCTGAGTTTGATCTTCAGTACCAAAAAAAAAAAAAAAAGAAAGGGAACAGTGCAGGAGGCACCATTTCCTGGCTCTCCACTGAAAGAAGCTGCAAGCAGTGACACCCAGTGCCAGTGAGCACACCCAATACCTACATCTCGGTTACTAACAGCATTATCCATAAAAGCAAACAGCTCCCTGGAGAAATGGCTGATGTAAGGGCTAGGACTCCTTCCCATACTAGAAAGTATATAAGCACCTACAGAATGAGAGGGCCACACCAGGACAATGCAGGAAAATGGTCGGAAGCTCCCAGTGGCTAAATCTGGAACAATTTGGGCATCAAAATGAGTAAAAACAACCTTTGAGTAAAATAGGAACTTGAGTAAACAGATACAGAAGGGAAAGCTCTTCCATATAATTGTCAACATATTGATGCAGATGGAGTGATAGAATTAGTCGATCCCCACTTGGCATCATAATAATTGAGTTAGACAAGAACCATCAGTGGACGTTTGAGTAGCAACAATATTTATACAGTCCCCGCAATTCACTTCTTAATGATAGGAATAAATGGTATCCCTATACAGTAGTACAGATACCTGGCAACACCAGCTTGGCCAAGTACCAGCAACAGAACAAAGCAACCTTATGTGTTTCCTGGGCACACCAAGCAGGAAATCGCATCACTGCGGTCAAAGTCCTGCCAGAATTGAAAAGCTTGAATCTAGCATGGGACAAACCCAAATGGAGTTGGGGAGGGGGCATTCTTCAGAATAATTATTTTGGGAGCTCGGGGTATAGCTCAGTGGTGGAATACTTGCATTTGTGAGGCTCCTAGATTCAATTTCTAGTGCTAAATAGTTTTTTTCAAAAATACCAGTGCTTTGTCACATTAAGGAAAACTAAATGGGGCATGGTGGCACATCCCTGTAATTCCAGCCTCTATGAGGCTGAGGCAGGAGGATCACAAATTCCAGTCCTGGGTGTGAGGATTTAGCTCAATGGTTCCACTGCCTGCCTTGCAAGTGCAAAGTCCCAAGTTCAATCCCCGGTACCCCCCACACAAAAAGAGGGACAAATTCCAGGCCAGCCTGGGCAACTTTGTGACTTAGCAAAACCATCTCTAAATAAAAAAGGGTCAGGGATATAATTCAGTGTGAAGGCTTTGGGTCCAAACCTCACGCAACAAAATAAAACACCTAAAAACACTGGGCAACTGAATGTAATGAATTTGGAAATTTGAAAAATTTGCTAGATTCAAATATTTGCTGCAGGTTTTATAGTATTGTGTCAATGCTAATTTCCCTTGACACTCGCACTGTGGCCTGACAAGAAAGGTCCCTGTGAGGTGGAGGTGATACACGATATTTAAAAAGGGAGGGGAGCACACAAGTATTTTGTACCAAAGGGAGCTCATCTCTGCAACTTCAGGTCAAATAGTTCAGAGAAAAATATATGTTTATGGAAAGAGAATGAAGCAAATGGGGCAAAACATCACAATTTAGAAATCCTGGACGGCCGGGGACTTAGCTCAGTGGTTCTGTTGCCTGCCTTGCAAACGCAAAGTCCCGAGTTTGATCCCCAGTACCAAAAAAGAAAAAAAAATCCTGGAATCACACAAACTTTCTTGTGAACCTAAATTTGCCAAAATACAAACGCTAAAAGAAACAAAACACTTTCATGGCCTGAAAAGGGGCAACATTACACTCTTCATCTAATATACAAAGCACAGCTTCAGCTACTGAGTTGTAGCTGGAGGCTCACCACAGGCCTTCCTGCCACCCTTCTGTGGGAGCTCTGACAGAGGGCAGGAAGCAACTGTGTGCCCAGCTCCTCTCAGGCAGTCCCAGTCGGCGGTCATTATCTAGACTGTGAGTGCGTGGCTGGCCACCTTGAAGCTACAATCTTGAAGCTAAATGCTTTCTGGAATCCTAGGAACCCCGTGAGGCCTACATAGTCATCCCATCTCATCAGTGAAGGCAGAGAGAAATCAAGCAACTCTAGCCATTATCCAAGCAGACTCAGATTTGCCCTAACACCAACATCAGTGCTTCTCTCAATCAACTGTTACTTCCCTCCAAACCCTAAGCCTACCACTGGCTCGTGTCAACCACCTCTGCCTTGTTCCAGATTCACCACACACAAGCATCCAGAGAAAACAAGTTTAATGAGGAGACTGCGCAGTTACGACGGGACCTCCCTTCAGCCAACCGGTATCCCATGCCGTGGGACACCTTCAGCGTGCTCTTCTATAAGGTGCTGGCCATGCATCTTGGTTCCTACCTAGGGTCTTCCTACAGTTCTGTGGACTGATGGAAAGACACACATATGGCTGTTTGAAGATTGCGTCATCCATAGGAATGGGTAGAAAAGCATTGGGGGAGAAGGTCCTGGGTGAATTGTGAAAAAAGGACCAACCCTTTGTCCCATCAAATACCTGCCTAACATTTTCTGTGGACATAGTGATTTTTAACTGGGAAAATGCAATGTCAACTACACAGGATTCAGGAATGGCAACATCTGTACGACAGAGATATGATGCAGTGGTGAGAAATGTGCAGTTTAGGGGTAAAGAAAAGTGGCATTTGGCTTTAACCCCATCTTCAGTTGCACAGAGGAAGGGGAAACAGCAAGGTCAGCTGCTAAGCCTCACTTCACACTCCTCACAGGACTCTGCAAGTGCTCCCTTCCACCTGGCCAATACCACGCTCCCCATTTTCCAGATGGGGAAACCAAGAAAGAAAAGAGCCTTGCCTAAAACCACCTGAGGCAAGGAGGAGGTGATGCTGTTTCATCCACTCCTCAAATGCACCAGTAAACTCAGCAGGAAATCTGCTGGTGGAGGTGACTCGTCTTGGGTTTGGCCAAAGGCAAGGAACAACCAAATGGTGATGTTCCTTTCCCTCTTCCCACTCTGTGGGTGTCAACAGCCAAGTCCAGGGCAAGGGGGAAAGGGACCAATACAAGCAACTTCCACTGTCCAGAGATGAAAGCCTAGGAAGCCTGAAACATCCCTTCCCACACCCCCTCACTATGGAATCTGTAAAGTGCAAACAGCAGAGTTGAGCATGGCCCACTGAAGACCGAAGATCTTGCGTACCTCCTGGGCTGGGTCTTCCTGCAGGGGCTCCAGACCTCCTGCTGAGAGCTGCCTTGGTAAATGCTCCCAGACACCTAACCCAGAAGCCACTGGCTGGTTCTCTCCGAGCCACCCAACCCCTCCACAGGCACTGTGGCAGCAAGACAGAGCTTTGGTCCCAAGGTCTGCCACCCAGGCCTACTGCAGCCAATCTTCTTGCCTGAACTAGAACTTCCCAAGGGACACTGTCCCTGCTGTGCACCTGGAGGCCAAGACGCCTGTGTGGGCCAAGCCCCTGGCTGTCGAGCTCAGAGCCTGAGGGTTAGGTGGGCTGGGCCTGAGCAGGAGCTGGGGTGTCTAGCTGGCCGAGTTCCCATGTTCCTTTCTCTGCCTATTGTACAAAGAACAAGAACCCCACTGGACTGCTAGCCTGAGGACTCAGAAGAACCTCAGGAGGCCAGGGCAGGTGCATGGGACACACCTGTGACCACCTCAGACAGGGATCACCAGGATCCCCCAAAGGAACTAGGATTAACAGGAGCCTCTGAGCAAAGCTTAAACCATACACCATGGCAGACAAAACTCAAGCTGAGACCGGGTGTTTGCCGGTGGCTTTCTCAGGTCTCATTCATCACTCCTTTGAAGCCCTCAGGATTCTCAGCCTGACCAGTGGCCAGGGTTGCCTGGACAGGAGCAAGGGCTATGCCATGAGGAGATGAGAAGTCCTCCTTCCCTCCCCTGGTGAGTCACCCAGGCCACAATGCTCAAGCGGTTCTACAGTGGCCAGATCATACAAAGTAGCACACCGGGGTACCAGCTAGGTGCAGCTTCCCAGGTCCCAGCAGGCACCCAGGCAACAATGGTCCTGGTGGGCACTGCTGCTTCTCTTCCAAGGGATGTGCCCCAGGGGTCTCTGGAGCATAATGAATACCCTTTCTTTGGCAACACCAGCAGGGTGCATGCCAGATGGCAGGGGTGGGGGGCTGGTGCTCTTCTCAGCACTCTAGGCATCCATGTCTGGACCAGGCTCCTGGAAGAGGGACTGTTTCCTCAGGTTGAGCCGGGCACACTTGGGGCACGTGGTAGAGTTGTCATAGTAGCAGTCCCTAGGGGCAGAAAGACAGGCTGGGTTCTACACATGAAATCCCACTGCAGGACCTTCCCCAGCCTCACTTGAGTTCTCTCCCATCACCCCTCCACCAACAGAGACTTTCATAACCCTGGTTTGCATCCAAGTGTGACTGAGCTCAAGGCCCAAAGATGGCAAGCACTTGCCCAGAAAGTCAATGCTGGCCTCTGCCAAAGAGGCCTCTAATTCCCCAGCATCCCATCTATGCAGTATCTCAGGTCACAAGTCCAGGGGCTGAATCAAGCAGGCTCTGAGCTCCTGATGACTCCACTGTCACCACTTCTCATCACCACCATAGCTCCCAAACTGTGCGCCACGGCACGGCATGCCGAGTCTCTGCAGAGGGTCCATGGCACTCTGCAGGCTTTATTACACATTTGAAGAGAACACAGTAGTACCGGTGAGCTTCAACTTTACTTTTTGCTACGCCCCTTTCTGTGACCACCTGCTTTGCAAAACTGGGATTTCGGCAGTTGCCATGATAAACAGCAGCGCCAGGCAAAGATCATTGTGGACAGAAACAGGGGTGATGGTGTCCATCTACCGCAGGGCCCAGCAGGGCAGACAGAACATTACTAAAAAATCATGCTTATTGATAAATGACATTAAAGTTTTTTTCTAATTTATGTGTATTCTGATTCCAGATAACCACTAAGTCTTTTAATTTTGCTTGGACCTAAGTATTTAATGAACAACAGCGAATAGTGTCTTTTCTCTTAGGAGCACCTGAAAAAGTTACAGAGACACTAAGGGTACCAGAAACTAACTCTGAGAACTTCTGGTCTATACTGGCCCTGTGACTTCACAGTGATGCAGAAAAGTAGTGCAAGCACTGTGGTCCAGTGCAGGGCTGAGTTGGTCTTCAGGGACTGGTCCAACATGGTCAGGCTGCAGCAGCCCATCCCCAGGCCCCTGCAGGTGTTTAACTGCTGACAGCACTAGGTTTGTTTGTGTGTTTGTCTTCGTACCAGGGAACTCAGGACCTTGCACAGGGAGCAGGCAGGCGCTGGAACCACTGAGCTAAATCCCCAGCCCCTGTTTGTTTTTGAGATAGGGTCTAACTGTGCTGCTCAGGCTGGCCTCAATCTTCCTGTCTCAATATCCTGAGTAACTTTTTGTTTTTCAGTGCTGGGGATTAAACTGAGGGCCTTTGCATTACCTACATCCCTGATGCTTCATTTTTTTTGAGACAGGATCTTGCTGAGTCACCAAGCTGCTCAGGCTAGGCTCACACTTGTGACCCTCTTGTCTCAGTCTCCCAGAGTGTTGGAGTTTTAAGCATGTACCAGTGGAACTTTAGTACTAGACATCAAGATCTAACTCCAACAGGGTGTGGTAGCGCACACCTGTAATCCCAGCACTCAGGAGGCTGAGGCAGGAGGATCGCTGTGAGTTCGAGACCAGCCTGGGCTACACAGTGAGTTCCAGGTCAGTCTCAACTACATAGTGAGACCCTGTCTCACAACACCCCCCCACCCACCAAAGCAAAGGTTGAAAGATTGGAGAAAATTTAAGAGATTGAGGAACGGAAAGCATACTCGGTACCTGAATTTTCCTAATTCCTCTAAACTTTTAGTGAAGAATTTCAAACATATACAAAGATAAACAAAGAGCATATAAAAAAAAAAAAAAAAAAAAAATCTAACTCCATATCTAGGATCAGCAAAGAGCTTGGAAAACCAAGCAACAGAAGCCCAAATGTCTGTCTGTCTCTTAGGGGCAGAAGAAAGATCAGCCACAGCTGAGGACAAGGGGAGGCACCCAACTGAAGGGCAGGTGTCACCACCCAGTCTGAGGAAGAGGTCCAGACCACACCCACCTGTGGAAGACGGCTGAGCAGTCCGTGCACACTGATGTGTGGCTATCGAATGGGAACAGCACATCACCCTCTCTGCAGAGCTCACATACGAAGCCCTTGGCCTGACACCGCTGGAGGGGAGACAGCATGGGGTTGAGTGAGCAGGTGATGCCAGCTTAGGCAGAGGGAGCAGCATGGCATTGGGGCACAGACAGTCGTAGCTCAGTGGGGAAGGGAGTAGTACGTGAGTTGAGCAGGCGGGTAATGCCAGGTTGGGGAGGTACACTGAGCTGAGCTGCTTCTGCCAAGGCCAACCCTCAGGGCTGGAAGCAGAAGTGGCCTGTGGTCCCCCTGGATCCCAGCCAGCATGCAGGAAGTGGGAGGCCCACCTCGCAGTCCAGCTTGATATGCTTGGCAAAGAGTGTGTGGATCTCGGTGAGAGAGCAGCCAAGGCGGCCCAAATGCACATCCAGCAGGTCCTGGATGGAGTACATCTCATCGTTCTCCACAAAATGCTGTCGGTCCTGGAGCTGCCAAGTCCCCACAGTCATGATCCCGGGCACAGGCTAAGGGCCCCTCACACCACCACCCATGGCTGTTCCCACTCTCAGGGCTATAGTGCATGCATGTGAGTCCCAAGGAGTCTCAGGAAGCTGAGGAAGGAGACTGGGCCACAGCCACCTTTCCGCACCTATTTCCCTCATTCCTTGCCTCCCCTAGCCACACTTCCTCACAATCTAGGTCTCCCTGACCCAGCTGTCTTTTCTCCAAGTGCTCGTCACCCAGGCATACTACTCATTTTTCTTGCACTCTCCACCTGAGAGGTGCTCTCCAAGTGCAAAAATCCCTGCTTCCCAATGTCTTAGAAGAGTCACTGAACAAATAAATACATGAGTCTGAACACTCATATTCTGTGCAGCCCACCTCCACGCAGATTCACATACAGGCTGCAGGCAGTACTTGATTATCTTAGTTTCCCTAACTGAGAAAACCAGAAAACGCTTTTGTGGATGGACATAATGGTTTGCAGTAGACCTAGTGTTCCTGTGCCAGAGTCTGGGAGACGGTCTGCTCACAGCACGGCACACACAGCCACCAAGTGATTGAGAAGCCTCTGCGGGTGAGGTGCTCCTGTCCTGAGCTTCTCTGGCCAATGCCCCTGGCAGTCTGACCTGCAGCAGCAGCCGGGCTTCCATGGCCTCCTTGCAGGTGATGAAGTACGGCTTCATGAGCAGGATGTCCTGGCGCAGCTTCTGTGGACAAGAGCGGCGGGCCAGCTCCTCAGCCAGGACACAACCTGGGCACAGTCACACTGGAAGGCTGAGGGGCCGGCCCCGTTGGCTTCCGAGAGTCATGTTCACCTACACTCACCTACACTCCAGTTTATGCAAACTCAGTAGAGGACAGGGAAGGTGGCCTCACATTCCCCAGGATGGTCCCAGACCTGAGACCTCCTGGCAAGCTCAGATTCAAATCACAGCGCCAGGCCGTACAGGATCCTGAGACTCATTTACCATCACGATGCCCTCCTTCTAGTCACTCTGTCCAGGAGCCCGAGGGCAGCACAGGGCACACTTGACATAGCCCTAGTCACGACCCACGTCTCCCTCACATCCCAGTCACATCCCACAGCTTTCACAGGCCCTGCTCACCACATTCTACTTGCTCTGTCTCAGCCTCCTCCCCTGTTCCACAAAATCTAACCCTTTCTGCACACTTTCAGAGACACTGTACCTCCCATCATCCAGACACTCTCCCTCCTGGCTAAAGGTGACTGCAAGTCACACTTAGCTGCCAAGCACTTAGAGGTGGCTGGTGTGACTGAGCTTGGAATCCACACTGAAACTCAGACATAGGGCAAAAGAAAGAACATCCCGTAAAAACATCATGATAATTTTGAAAATGGACTGCTTATTGAAATAAGCTTTTCGAGATACTAGGTTAAAGAAAATGTTTTTTGTTTTTTTGTTACCGGGGATTGAACCCAGGTCCTTGCGCTTGCAAGGCAGGCCACCGAACCGCTGAGCTAAATCGCCAGCCAAGAAAATGTATTATTAAAATTAACTTCACCTGTTCCTTGGAGCAGGATCTTACTATGCAGCCCAGGCTGGCCTCCCACTAGCAGCAAGTCTCCTACCTCAGCCTTCGGTGTGGTGGGATCACAGATGTGTGGCCCACACCTGGCCTCTTTTTACTTTTTGAATGAGGCTACTAAAAAACTTAAAATTGTCTTCATGCCTGGCATCAGACTGCTACCAAACATATTTATAGCGCCTTGAACTTAAATGATATCAAAGGCTGAATCGTGCCTGGGCTCAACCCGCCAAGGTCCCCCCACCTCCCAAGAACAATGCCCCACCCCACGTGGGCTCAGCCCCAGCCTCACTCACCCTGATCTCCACCAGCTCCTCCACGTAGTTGAACAGCAAAGGGTTGATCTCCCGGAGCCGGAGCACTGGTCGCGACACCATCAGAGCCAGGTAGCGCATGCTGCAGCGAGACACCTGGGGGGCGCTGAGTGGCCCCGCCCTTCGCCTGCCACCACCCCCGCAGGACACGCCCTCGCGACACGACCCCTCAGGATGTGCCTGACCCTCCCCCAAACCTCAGGATGCGCTCCCAGGCTGCTCAGCAGCACTCAGCCCCACAGCTCCCAGGAGCCCTACCTTGCGTGGCTCGAAGTCCCAGTTGTGCACAACACGTGCAGGGATAACGGCCAGGTCGTTCCAGTGGCAGTGGCTGCAGTAGTACTGGCCCGTGTAGTCGCACTGTCGCGCCTCACTGGGCACGCCCCCTGCGCAGCAGTCAGTCAAGGTCAGGTCGGGTGAAGGCATGCCACCTCCTTCTTTATCTGTCCCTGTGGCCTGGCCTCCCTTGCCCAAGGCCAGCGGGGGTCCCAACCTCCAGACCCGCCTCATCTGAGCTCAGACCCTGAGGCCTTTTGTCACAGACTAGGAAAAAACACACGGCAGAGTGTTCCAGAGACTCGCTAAGGTTTGTTCATGGGGTCCCTTTGGCAGTTCTCTGGTAGAGGCCTGCTGTCCCCTTTCCTGATAAGCAAACTGAGGGCACTGAGACACTGGGGCCCCCTTACAGGCCCTGGACAAACCATGAAATAGCTCAAACTCAGAGTGTTTGCACAGGAAGTGGAAAACTGTTAGCGACTGTCCATTACTTCCCACAGACAAGGGCCAGGGACAGCCTTGGTCCCAGGGCCTTATTTAGTACTTCGGCTTTACCAGCCTTCCCACCACCCTCTCCAAACCCCTCCCTGGAGTAGCTCCCCGCCACACACTCCTTTCCCGGCCACCACTCACGCAGGGAGATGGGCGCCCGGCACTCGGCACAGCGGTAATCCTGGCTGTCCAGCCCTGTCTCGGGGCAGATGTTCAGCTCGTACTCAGCCTGGTGGCTAACTTTGGAGCTCACACAGGGCTTGGAGATGAGGTTCAAGCACTTGCTGTGGCAGCGGTAATAGCAGCCTGGGATTGGGGGACAGCCGTGCATCTTAGAAGCAGAGGGGATCCTGCAGCCCAGGCTGACCTCAGCTGGCTACTCCCCAGCTTTCACAGGCTCTGCAGGCTCCAGGGTCCAGACCAATCCAGACCTTCTGGAATGGCCATCGGAGACCCTTGCGGCCCCATCCCCACAGCCTGACCCCTCAGCCAGACTCATGAGCTCTGGCAAGCTCCTGCCGTTCCCACCCATCAAACTTCAGCTGCCCAAAAGGGACTTCCACTGTTCCATTCCCACCTGGGATTCCAGCAACTCATCTTCCCAGGGTGAGATCAAACATCTTGAGTTTGAGACTCCTCCTCAGCTCTTACAGGGCACTTTCAAGTCTTCACCAGCACTGACCCCAGCCACTTCTCACCCGAGCTGATCACAGAGCCATCAGTCTCCCCTCCACCACCACCCTCTGCAGTTCTAGCCTTCCTCCTTCAGCCCAGGCTCAACTCTGCAGCCAGAGTTTCAGAGTTTAAGTGTGTCCCCTACCCCGTGGGCCCTCCTCAGACACAAGCAGAGGAACACTACACTCTGCTCCTCCCAGAGGACGCTGGGCACACATCAACCACAGGGATC